TCCCCTAGAAACCCTGTTATAATCACCTTACTAACCCTACCTACTCAGTCAAAAGGGCCTCCCTAAACCCTAAACCCTAAACCCCTAAACCCCTAAACCCCTAAACCCCTGAACCCCTAGACCCTAAACCCTACACCCCCGATCCCCAACCCTTCAGACCTGGCGCCGAAACCCCGGAAGTTAACTTGTAATATAGGGTTTAGGGTTTAGGGTTTAGGGTTTAGGGTTTAGGGTTTAGGGTTTAGGGTTTTAGTTTTGGGGGTCCTTATTATAATTATACTGGAACATACCCCAAAACCCTAGTCTAATTATGAAGGCCCCTGTAGTAGCCGAAAAGACCTAACATTTGTCGGGTTCCTTCTTATGGTTTAGGGTTAAGTGGTTTACGGTTTAGGGTTTACGGGTTTACGGGTTACGGGTTACGGGTTTAGGGTTCAGGGGTTTAGGGGTTCAGGGTTTAGGGTTTGGGGTTTACGGTTTCGGGTGTACGGTTTAGGGTTATATATATATATATGTAGAGAAAGGGAGAGAGTTCCTTAAAGAGGTATGTCTTTTGGGCCACCGGTTCTTCGGGATAAGGGTATAGGAATTAGGGTGTCGGGTTTAGGCTTCTGAAAACCCTACCACGACCCGAAGCGCGAAATCAGAGGGTCGGACCCCCCACTCAAGTGAGCACAGCTGAGGGCAACAAGCCGCAGAACAAGGCGAAGATCCAACCGCCAGCATCTGAGAGTGGGTTCTTCGGGGGCCTGAAAAGGTGGGAGGAAAGTAGCTGGGATTAAGGACCCAGTATGTATATATATATATACACACATAAAAAGCATATATATATATATACCATACCGGTATGTATGTATTTCTATATATATATATATATATATAATAGGTATATATGCGCACTCTTGTTTGGGATTTCCCCACCTACCTTCTTCATCCCTGCTTTCGAGCCCTTTGGCTTCTTTACCCGCATCTGAGGGTGGCCAAATACACGCCGCTGTGGAGCAGTCTTAGTAGTCGTCGTCGTTGTCGTGGTTTTGGTGGCGGCGGTAGTGGTACTGCTAGAGGTGTTGTAGTAGTAGTGGCTTTGGCCGTGGCAGTTGCGGTAGAAGTGGTTGTGAATGGTAGTGGCAGTGGTAATAGAAGACGCACCCAGAGAGTCCAATACCCCTTAATTAATGAATATACCTTAAATCGTAATATGAAGGCCGCTATAGTTGAAGGTATAATCCTTGTTTAAGGGGTATTGGGCTCTCTGGGCAAGAGATCCTCGTTAAGCCCTGAACCAGTTGATGGCCCGCAAACCCTTTTAGCATCCATGAGAGCCACTTGGAACCCCATGACTCCTGCTTGAATACTGCAACCCCACAAAAACTTCATGAAATCTCACCAAACCACCCCAAACCCTAAACCCTGAACCCTAAACCCTACACCCTAAACCCTAAACCTCAAACCAGATGAGAAAACGCCCTAAGCTGCAGGCCGCAGAGGAAGAAGTCGATGACGGGAGGCGAGAAGGTCACCCAAGCGGGCGCTGCTCCTTGCTGTCAAACTGAGCTCGTTTTGGGTGTTGGTTTCGGGTTTAGGGTTGAGGGGTTTAGGGTTGAGGGGTTTAGGGGTTCAGGGGTTTAGGGGTTTTAGGGTTTAGGGTTTAGGGTTTAGGGTTTAGGGTTTAGGGTGCCGGGGGCTGAAGGCCCGGGGGCCGGGGGAGGGTCGGTTTTGGGGGGTTTAGGCCCTTAGGCTCTGGGCCGAAGTCAGACTTGGGACTTAGGGTATTGGGGTGTAGGGTTTAGGTTTAGGGTTTAGGGTTTAGGGTTTAGGGTTTAGGGTTTAGGGTTTAGGGTTTAGGGTTTTGGGTTACTTGGAGGATCATGGGACTTAGTAACTAGGGTTACAAATAAGGTAACGGTTATTATAACCCCAATTAGGGTACTTATAACCTTACTTACTAAGTCCCATGATCCTCCAAGTAGGGAGCAGGGTCTTGAAAATTCAAGGGGGGGTGGGAAAGCTCAAGGGGACCTGCAACGATTCGGGCGTCGACTGTATGATGTAGGGGCCTTAATAATTAGGGTTTGAGGCCCCACTTAACTTTAGTTATAATAAGGAACCCCCAAAACCCTATTCTAATTATTTTAAGGCCCCTACATGAGGTTCTCTACGGGACGGGGCTTTAAGAGCTTGAGGGTCTGCCGGGCCAAACCCACAAAGCCGCCGACGAGCTTAAGACCGAAAACTCCCAGGACCCATCGGTGGCAAAAGTGAAGTCAGAGGAGCAGGGTTTAGGGTTTAGGGGTTTTGCACGGGTTTTTCGAAGCGCGTGTAGGGAAGGTTGCCTAGAATCTGCTACTACTACGGCTGCTCCTGTTGTTGCTCATCTCATTACTATGACTAGACTAGCAGCACCGCGACGACCACTGCTACTACTAGTCCTGGTGCTACTCTTGTTCCGCTAGTGCTGCTGCTACTACTGCTATTGCTACTGCTACTGACTGCTACTGCTGCTGCTGCTGCTACTACGACTACTACTACTACTACTACTACTACTACTACTAAGATTTTACTGCTACTACTGCCCTTACCGCTACTGCTGCGACGACGACGACGACCGCTGGCAGTAAGTACGACGATAACGGCTTTTGTTCTCTTTTTGACTGACGCAGTTATACACGTCGTTGCAGTATCTACCCTACTACTTATCTGCTTCTCACTCTGCCTTTTTCGCTTGCTAAATCCAATTTCCCCAAACCTCAAACCCCAAACCCCAAACCCCAAACACCAAACCCCAAACCCTAAACCCTAAACCCTTGCTTTGGTACTTCTTTCCGACGACTGCAGCCCGGTACTTCCAAAACTGTCGCTATGCAGAGTTAAGAAAGCAAGAAGCTCGGCCGTCACTGTCCCCGTCGTCATGACAGTCGTTCCTCGTCGCTACCGCCGTCACCATCATGAGAAAAGTCTGTCACAAACTTCATAATGCTCTAGTTTGGCTCGAATAAGATAGAAGCCTAAATAATTGCAAATACTATTTTGGCGGTTCTTTATTATGATTATAGTATAGTGGGCGCCAAACCCCATTCTAATTATTCAGGCCCCTATACAACGAGCAAACCTTATAGTACCCTACACATCGACCCCCTCCGGAACCTTACAAAACCTATAAAGCCGCAGAGCCCTTAATTAAGGAATATAGCTTAAACCATAATATTAAGGCCCCCATACTTTAAGGTATATTCCTTATTTAAGGGGTAAGTTGGGCTCTCTGGGATCCCTGTTCGGGAGGACATGAAACTGCAGAGCAAGCTGCGCTGATGGAGCCAGGCCGCGTGAGTTGAAAGCCACAGGTTTGCACTGCAACTCCGTGAGATATTGTAGGGTTCATTCAGGGTTTAGGGTTTAGGGTTTAGGATTATAGGGTTCAGGATTTAGGGAGTATGGTTGAAGACGTCGCTTAAAACTTTGATCTTAGAACCATGTGTTTGTTGTTTCTCTCTCTCTCTCTCGCTGGCTCGCTCTTTGACAAAGTTGTGGTCAGGAAACAGCCTTGAATCCAAGACCCTAACCATCTTCGTGCTGTGCTTCAGCTCAGCAGCTGTGGCATTCAACGAGTTTGGGCCTCGTAGGGTTAAAGTAGGGCTTTGCGTAGGGTGAGTATAGGATTTCTCCAAAAGTGTTCAACAGGAACTTGGTTTAACTCCAGTCTTAGCAGGATTTTAGGGGTTTCGGGTTTATGGTCTCAAAGGTTTGGATTTTGTCAGGGAGTTCAGAGTTCCAGATTTGCGTGATTTACTCAGGGTTTTAGGGTGTGTAGGGCTTCTTGTGTTTTAATGATATGGGGCTGCCATAGCGTACCACAAGGTTTTGATGGTTAAACCCTCCTACCCCGAAGCCCGACACCCTGAAACGCCGAAGCCCTAAACTCTCAACCCTTCGTCCCGCGTCCAGTCACAAAACACCTGTAGATTCAAACCCTAAACCCTAAACCCTAAACCCTAAACCCTAAACCCTAAACCCTAAACCCTAAACCCTTACAACATCCCTACGGGCCTAAGTGCCCAAATAGTATATACTTTGGCCCCAAAGTACCTATAATGGGACTACTCTAAGTTTAAAGTACATACTATTAATTTGGTACATGGACCCCCAGGGCATCCTTAGCAGTCATCATACTTTCAAGTCTGAAACCTCCTGAACCTTTTAGGGTTTAGGGTTTAGGGTTTGAAAGTGCTGCAAGCTGAATGACAGGCTGCCTGCATGATGTCCTCCGGTGAAATTTGTCGAAGCAGGGTACCTTTCTTCCACGATGAGTGGTTTTTGCTCCAAGCCAGGGGGTATCTTTCGGAGTCGAGTGTTTCGTTTCCTGATAGTAGGGTCCCTTTGGAGGTTTGTAGTTTCTTTTAGGGTTGGTATAGGGTTTTACATGGCTCGGGGAGTTAGCGTTTGCGGTGCAGGTGTTTAGGATTTGTGTCCACGAGCTTTAGAGCTGCCTGTAATGAGGGTGCTGTTGGTTAGGGTCCATGGCCGACTAGCCAGTGGTTGTAGAAAGCTGGGTTGACCGAAGTCAGGTAAGCTTGCTTCAGTTTTTGTTCGGTTCCTTGGGGTTTTGTTTCACGGTGTATGATCTGGGGTTCGAGGTTGCACGTAGGGTTCAGGACTGGGTCCTGGGCATGTTGCCGAATATTGAAAGGTTCAAAGTGTTGGAGCTTAAGAGTTCCGCACACCAACGTAAAACGGGTGCCCGTTTGGGTTCTAGGTGGACAACACCGGGGTCAAGGGTTAGGACGCGAGGGTTTTTGTCTAGCACTCAGGACTGGATCCAGTATTCATAGGGATCTGTAGTAGTTCTCTACTGTTAGATACAGATTCAGCGGGTTTGATTAGTAATCCAGTATCCTGCAATCTCCGTATGGGAGTCTCAGAATGCACGGGACACCAATTTAAACCTTAAGTCAAATAAGAATATGTTTATTATTACTAGGACCCCTAAAAAAAAGGGATCCGCTGTTGTGAAATCCTTATTATAGCTCCCGTATAAAGCAAGCCGCCGACAAACCCCAAACCCCTAAACCTCAATCCCTAAACCCTAAGCCTACACCCTAAGCCCCTACACCCAAAGCCCGAAACCCTAAGCCCCATAAGCCCAAAACCCGAAAGCACCCGACAACGTGAGCCTAGTTGGCCTTGGCAAAGGGGCCCTGGCTTTGGCATCAGCTGCCGCTTTTCTGTCAGAAACTTGCTCTGCCTCAGCGTAGGGGCCCGGAAAGGAAATTACACTAGAATTAATAATCATAACAGCCAAAAAATACTTTTTATTGTTTTTTTCGTACTCTTGTTATTAATATCATCATGATTGTTGTTGTTGTTACTATTAGTAGCAGCAGTAGTAGTAGTA